GTACGCATAGAATAGGGTGAAAAAATATTGTTCGTACTGCCAATGCTAGTGAATGGAAATGTTTTCATTCAAAGAAAATGTGATGCACTTAGTAAAAATTACTTCTGATGATTGTTCTTATCATTATTGGAATGTATCTGCCATTGTATTTCTGCTCCTTCATGTAGTATATTCCTTTCGTTCTTTGGAATGATCCATTATGTTGCTGCACATACACACGTATATATATTTGTGTTACCGTTCCTGTTCAATTTTTCTCTTTTGATTCTTGATCTCACAGACATACTGCCTCTGTTATTTTCCTCATTATTCACCAAAATAACAAAGTAGATATGGTTGATCTATTAACATATTTGACGCAATGTGACTCACGGGTGGTTCATGGCAAAAGAAATTGTATATCTCCACTGTATTTTAACCAAACGAGCTGTTTTTTTGTAACAGGTTTAGTTTAATTTGTCAGAACTTGATAAATATATCAGAGTTTACTGATCCGAAGTAAATTTTAGAATACAAATGTAATTGTATTATTTCTAAAATTGCAGAGAGTTACTTTTCTTTCTTAAAGTCAATCATAATACCTTAACATGGTGTTTATTGACATTTCTCTTATGAATAAAAACTTTAAACATTCCTTTATTATCAATAAAAAGACCAGCTTGTTTGGTTAAAGTACAGTGGCGATATTCAATTTCTTTTGCCGTGAGCCATCAGTGGTTTACATCGTGTCGCATGTGTTAAGAACGGGATCCTTCAAAACTGAGTAAAGGAAACGAAGGGGACAGTCAAATATTCCTAGATATCCAGACAACTACTCTGAATATTTTCAGGTTTTTTTTTTCATACAAATTTCCATGAAATTTTGACGCTTTACCCGTTTCTAGGTACATATGAGTGCATAGTAGTTGTACGGATCAGTAATTTCAACATTATTAGATTTTCGAGTGTTATTAATATTGTCCTTAATTTTTTTGTTTTACTATTTTCTGCTCATTCAGATCGAATGTATTTCAACAACAAAAAGCTTCACAATAGACTAGATTTGTTGTTCATGCAAAATGTTCTTTTTTCGATACTAAATATCTTCTAGACGCAGGGCGATTAATCTGGGCAGGAGGAAAATGAGAAGTCAAAAACTGCGATTTTTACATAAGTATCTCCATGTATAGTCTGCTATTTGACTGTTCGTTGTGTAGGGAACTTTGTTATAATTGATGATATTATTTTTCAACAACTTTTTCCTTGCTTCTGTATCTTGCAATCTATCAAGTTCGTATTCGTAAGTACTAATATATAATATTCTTACATAATTTTCATAGAATTAATTATTAATATAAGATAACATGATGTGTGATGTTGAGAAGATAGATTGTGGATGAAAAAAAGACCTACATGCTTGAGTAAAGGTACCGTGTTTTTACTGTTTGCATGCTGAAAACGTAATATAGACTTCATTTTTATCCTCTCAATTATAAATATAAAACAAAAATACAAACACAAAAACCAGAATACTAACAATACTTTTTCATAGACGGCTATCATTTAGTTTTTTGTCTGAGTGTTAGTTTTACTCATAAATACAACTGTTCTTTAATTGATAAGTCTTTTTATACTTGCTTGGTTATTTTGTTGTAGCATAATTTATCTGAAAAATATTTTATGATATGTGCAAATCTGTTTGCAACGTGTACGATGAAGAAGCAAGATAAAAATACCTTGAAGTAAAAAACAATACATCGAGACAATACACTTCTCATATATGTTTTGTTTTTCTTTCCTACTTTTTATGACTGCTGATAGAATACGGACTCAAAAAAGAAACATGTAAGAAAAATATGATTACAAAAGAGATAAAGATAGCTTTATTAACATCAATTTTTTTAATAAGTAAAAATAGAATAAACAAGCTTTAGTCAAACAGAATTCAGTAGATGAAAGCAAATCATAATTGCTGTATCGTTTCGTAATGAAGATCATGAATTCCATTAAAAAAGAGATTTATAAAAAAAAGTTTCTATAAATATCTTCAACAAATGTATTTATATGTCAATACACATGAGAACTACTTTGTACCATTGATGAAATAAAATCTCTGACAGATTATTTATGTATGTTTATCCTTGAAAAATCTAATTATTTTGCTATTCTGCAAGTAGAGAAGAGAGAGAGAGAGAGTTTCATATGTGATTCTTGATGAATATCTACCGTTTGACTTTTGTTCCTATCAGTCTTTCAAGACCAACATTGAGCAGACAATATAATGTCAAGATATCACATATTATTAAACATAAACAAATGAAAAATTCAATATAAGATTCCTAAAAATGTTCCTGATGTTTTTCAAATTCTTTTCATTATGAAAAAACAAAATTTTACAATCAGAATTGTACAATAGTAGATGAAGATATTGCAGGATTTTGTGTATAGATCGATGTTTCGTTTGAGTATTTTACCATAGAAGTTTTCTTTTGGAATAAAGATTTTTTTCGTTCTACTAACATAAGTAAATAATTTTTAAAAATAAATTGTTTCGACCATATAAATAATAATAATGATAGAAAAGTAATGACTGCAAAAATTAAAAATAATCCACCCAATGAATCAATATGCATTGCAGTTGATGTTTCAGATGAACTAGGACATTCCTTTTTTTGAAACCATTGTGCTTTTAACTCATCAAGTTGGCCTGATTCTCTTAATAATAAAATATTGACATCTAAATCTTTAGCATATAACCATTGTTTTGGTGTAACTATGCCAAAAGAACCTTTCTCAAAATCTTCTCCAATTAGTTTGAAATTGCAATAAATATTATTCGTAACATATTCAGCAGTACCAGTATCCATAAAAGCTACATCAATATTTTCAGTGAGTAAACTATCATATAATTCTTGTCGAGTTTTTAATTGATAATAACTCTTATTATCACCAGATATTTCTCTTAAATAATAATCTTCACTTGCTGTACCAATAAAAACACCAATACGATTAAATGGAATTTTTCCACTTTTAATATCTTTAATGTCAGAAATAATATCTTTTGATTTTGATATTGTTAAATCTGATGCTAAATTTGCAGTGTATGTAGCTACTCATATTAAACTTAACATATATAAACCAAC